TTTTTTTTTTTTTTTTTTTTTTTCTTTTCTATTTTACTATTTTATTTTTTCTAACCCTTTTTTCTTTTTTCGGTCGCCCCAATCCTTTTTTCTTTTCTTTTCTTCTCTCTCTTTTTTCTTTCCTCCTTCGATTTTTATTTTCCATTTTCAATTTTTAATTAAATTTTCTTCTCATGTCAGTTTTTCCTTTTTTGCCTTTTTTTTTGTGGTGATAATTTTTCGCTTTTTAATTTACTTCCCTATTCTTCTTTTCTTTTCTTTTCTCACTTTTCTCCCTCCACTAACTTACTAACTAACCCTTTCCCTTTCCCGGGAGACAAATAACACTGCTGGATCATCACCATGCACGTCCAACTCCGAGATAGATCCTTTCCTGCAAGACAAGCTGTACATTTAGTGATGCCATTCGCGGTTAGAAGAAGAAGACGAAGAAGAAGAATGAGTTTAGAAGGGGAGTTGTTTATAAACAGAAAACAAAAATAACACCTGTATACACAATACTAACTTGCTATCCCTACCTTGAAACCTCCCCGTAAGAAAAAAAAATAACCAATTTAAAAATGAAAGAAACGTCGAGTCAGAGAAGCCGACAGGCACAAGATCTGGCTTTCTCTCTCTCTCTCTCTCTCTCTCTCTCTGAAACTGGTGCACGCGCACAGTAAACTGGCAGTTGCCGTCCGTCAGCTGTCCCATACTAACGCCATCCATATTTTACTTACTACAGTAAGTCAAAACCTAGCCTAGTTAGTAGGGCCCATGGGTAAATGACAAGAACAGGGGGGGCGGGGACGGGGGGGAAAAAGATGGGTGAGGGGAGAGGGGGGAGAAGAGGGGGGCCAAAGTAGACCCAGCTAAAAGAAAACCGACGATCATGGGTGGGAGTGGATACAGTAGCCACAAACTACAGACGACCGTCATTTGCTCCGGCGGTATTCAGAAGGGCATGCACAAGAGGAGAGAGACGGGGGGAAAGACTGAAGAAGATGGGGGATTATTTTTTCCTAGCAGACTAGAGGGAGAAAGAGAGGAATGAGAAATTGTGCAGGAAATGGCTTTTATTTTCACTCAATCAGAAAATTGTTGAGAAAAAGGTAAAAATGTGATTCGTTGACGGTTTTTTGGTTTTATTGTTATTAGTATTGTGGTTGTTGTTATTATGATGGATTGTTTTGAATAATGCCATTCTTGTATTTTTCTTTATGTCGGACCTTTCCTTTCTTTTCTTTTCCTGGTCACCCCATCCTTCTCGTCGCCTTGAATCGATAATGATAATAACAATAATAATGTTCGCTCTTAAGGTTGTCTTGACAGATGGTGCCAAGGGCTCGGGATCTGGAGTGATTACCCGTCTCGGGCGCAGGGAGGCTGCGTCGAACAGCTAGTAGAGAGGGGGTGAAGGAGGGAAAAAGACTGGAGCAAGTAAGAAAAGAAAGTTATGAAAATAATACATAGTAAAAATAAAAAGGATGCGATTATCTCAGTGGCGTTACAAAGGTGTGGACAGTTCACTGAACATCCTAGTCTGTCTGTTGACTGGATACTAAATACCCCTACTCAGTTGGGTAATTTCGTCTGCCATCGCCATCAGGAAATCCTATCTGAGCGTATTCCGTGTGTTAGTCTAGTAGTAACCCATGCAAGTGCGATGCATGCATGTACTAGATATCCTTGACTGTCCAGCAATTAACTAGATAGGGTACGTAGGCAGAGATACCTGGATGGCGATAGTAGTATCCAGCGCTAAATCCCGAAACGTCTATGAGGTGCGAGGAAGTTGTTGTTGTTGTTGCTGCTGCTCGCTTCAGGGATTATACGAAGTAGTAAGTAGTATACAGTAGTCACAGTTATTTTTCATCATCAAACTGCCAACCTGTCTCATCAACCATCGATCGCGCTTATGTTTTATCTACCATGCACAAACGATCATACCCCATCCCCATAAACTACCCCCAAATCTCCATTCCTTTCCGAGACTCCTTCCTATTTTTGCTTTTTGGGCAGTTCATCGCAATTAAGTCCCCTGTTCTGAATGACTCGGGATCCCTCCCCCCCGCGGGCGCCTTAATCAGGAGCCAACTTAGCCTCAGAATAGCACTAACATATGTCGGGGGTTGTGTGGGAAAGGAAGGGGGAGGGGAGTCCGAGATGGTTGGCGGCATCATCGGCTAGACTAGGCTGGCTCACGCCAGGACAAAACGAAGCTGAAACTGGGAAGGAACTCCTTCCGGGCCCCCCCCTCTCCCTCCGTCCCCTCTTTTCTTCCTCCTTGCCCTTCAACACAGAGAGTGTGTGATTGAGTGATGAGTGTGTGTCTGCCCGCCTCACACGCCCCATCCATGTTCGTAACTGGTAAAATTCCAGAAACGAGCTAAGTCGGTTAGACTGTTTGTCAAACCCGGGTTCCCCTTCTTTTCTTTTTTTAGGGTAGATTTATTTCACCCGGTGAAACACAACACGGGTTTTCTATTACCTGGTAATCTGTAGATTGATGGTCTTTAAATGGCAACCGCGGTTTTCGGATGGTTGATCGCCCCGTAGATAGATAAATAAAGTATAGCTAAAAAACTAAAAACTAAACGATAATAATCACGAAATCCTTGCGGTGAGTGAATGATCGTGCTACTAGTATAGAGTCAATAAAGCATGGCAGCAATTCGTAATATTTAATTTTTCTTGAGGTAAGTAAGTACTACACTACCTACCCAAGAGTAAACTTTACGACTTACGGTGGCGAGAGCAAGCAAGCGAGCAAGAAAGAAAGAAAGAGGGGAAAAAAAAATAAATATTAGCTGAATGTTCGGGGTTTGCCCACAGAATTAAAGGTGGTACAGAACGTCTCACTTAATTACTGCTGCTGTCTCTGCTTAATTAAATGCCGTATAAGGTGGGGGTAGTACAAGACCGAGCCAACCGTGCTTGACTCAAAGGACTACGGAAAAAGCTTCCTGCAGGCGTAAGTAATCGTCAGGTAGTAAGTAGTAGGTACTAGTAGGCCGCCGGGCTTCAAGAGCAAGCGCTGCTATTAGTCGCTCATCAGCTACGTTGCACAGGGTGGTAGTAAGGACTGACGCCCGCCTCCTCCTCTCATGTAGGCCACATCCCATCCCATCACTTAACTGGGCCAACCAATTGGCACACCAATGCAGTCCGTACTGCACGGAAGGGAAGCTAAGGAGAAGCAAGGAAGCAAATCCTCTCGCTCAGGAACGGTCCGGAGCAGGCATGGCTGCAGGTCTAGCCAAAAACGATCTTAGTGGTCATGCAGGAGAGGGGCCGGGGCTTAGTTTGGGGAGGGAGGGGGTGTGGGAGGAATTCATTTTTCAGCTATGAAATTCCAAGCCAATCACGGGCGGAGAGTCGAGGAAAATGCACACAAGAAAGGAAAAAAGAAGGGGAGAAAAATAAGAATTGGCAGATGGGAATAAATTAAAATTAAATAAAGAAAGAAGGTGGAAATAAGCGAGAATCAAGAAAAGAAAAGAAAGGAGGAAAAAGCAAAATATCTAGCACATGAGATCGCCGGGTTTAGTCTCCACAGTGGTGTTGGTGTCAGAACAGGCGCGTAGGGCCACTTCTGACCAAGCAGAGACTACCAAGTGCATCACAAGTCATAGCTTATCCCCAAACAGTATGCGCCTAGATTTAAGACGGTTAGGATGAAAGTTAATCAAAGCCATTGAATAACACGCTAATAAATACCACTGTACAGCAGGACAAGACAAGGAGCGAGTGTGCCCACGCCATCTCACAAATTTCCTGTTCCCTAACCTGCCTTGCAGAATTGCTACACTACTTACTATGTATTGTGACGGCTATGGCGTTACGCCCGCTGCAAGGTAATTAGGTAGGGCGAAAGTCCGATCGACCGGTTAGATGGTCTCATCTCATCGAGATCGATCATGATAATACGTAGTAGTAGTATCAACAACTCCAGTGGTAGGTGCACTCTCATGACGAGTCTTTGACAGGTCTCGAAGGATTTCCCACAGCGGGGAAAATCAGCTGAATGACAGAAGAGAATCAGAAGCTAAATTCGGTCGGTCATAGGTCGGCAGCAGCAAAGAGAAGAGGAGAAGGCCTTTGATCGGGTTTGACTAGCAGAGGTCCCAACTTCCGGGTCAAGGAAGGGCTGATCGCCGAAAGTGTTCTTCTTTTTCCATGGACCCGACCCCACTTGCTTTTCCAGATGAGCTGCAATCTGTGGTCAGAAGATCCACGTCGGCCTGTCTTCCCAGTTTTTCCATCGCTGTCCGTTTTTAACGGCAGTCAGTTACTAGTAATATTGACCAATTAATTCCACGGTTTTAAGAGACCCATGGTAAGTAACACTACACGATAACCTTGCTCAAATTTATTGACGGAGACTAGAGCCACCTGGCTTGAATGTGGGTGACCTTGTTCATCACCGGTTTAACGCTGCTGCCGATTTTTGGGGAGGAGAGGAGAGCCTCACGTTCAATACCGTCAGTTACAGTTGTCTCTCTCCCTCCAGGGTCACTCGGTCTCCTTCCCCATCGCCCCTCTCTTTCTATAGCGAGCGTGGCTACTACCCTCTCCGCAAGGCCCCCCTCTATCCCTTCGTAGCGGCGTGGTTTGAGTAGGTAACATGACTAACGTCGGTAGCCAATGCCATCTAGACGAGTACGGGCTAGGAGATGATTGGTCACTATTACCCATATATTATGCAAGATCCATTGCCCGTGCATATGACATCTCAGCTTGTCGGTTAGGAGGTGGGTATTGGAGGTTGACATGCCGCGATTAGAGGGGCAAAAATTGCATGTGGCAGATTGAATCAGGATTCATTACAAGGGTTGATGTGATTTTGTCGGCCGCGACCAAGCAAGGTCCATGCAAAAGTTGGGAATGACTCGGTTTGATTAGGATCGGAGAGTCAACTACTGGACCTGGTGCCCTCTGCTAACGAATGATATGCATGACTGTTATTGCGATAAAGTGGGATTAATTAGTTGTAAATTGTCTGGATCCCGAACCACACCCCCCTCTCCTCCTCCCCTTTTGGTGTGACGGGCAGCGCCCGCGCACGAGGAGGATGAGGAGTTTGATCCAAAGTTCGGGAGAGCTCTGGGAATCCAGGAAAAAGCCGCCGAAAAGGAAAGGAGAGAAAGTTTAGGATCCAGTTTCAGGGATGACAACCACATGAGAACAAGAGCGATGACAGGGACGAGGTGTGCATCCATGGTACACTGATTAATAGTTCTGACAATGAGAAACCCAGACACATGATGGACTAGTCTTAAGTCTACTGTGGACGGTGAGTGGGCAGTGGGGCCAGTCTGGGCAATGGTTGGATCCCGCCACGGATAGAGAACATGAACATGGCAGAGCTGAAAAATGGAGCGAGTTGACAGTCGGTAGTAGTGACTTTTTAGTCTAGTGTGAACGGGGCGCAATCCTCCATTTGCGTTTAGTGTCAAAATGGGATGGATTGGGCGTGTCCGCCAGTCACGAGCCCATGACGTACTCCACCGGTGGGACGATCGGAAAAGTCGCTCTGGAAAGCGACCCGGCTGATTGGTTCCTCCCCCTGGAACGGGAGAATCACCGCCGCATCCAATGACAAATGACAAATGACAGAGTCACGGGCCAAGCAAAGCGGGAGTGTGCACGATGTGTACTCCGTCCCAGGGATCTGGCATCAACCGAGTCGCAATGGTAATTAGACAAAATATAGTGGTTACCCAGTACGTGTCGGTCCCGGATTGTTATCGTGGGGACAGATCAGAACCACTCCTATGGGTGGCGCGCTGAACAAGACCAGACGAGATCCGCTTCCCTGTCTCATCCTTATCGTCCGAAAGAGCGAGACCGAGAGTGAGTGAGTGAGCGGGAGATGGAGCGGAGGTGTAGACGCACACACGCCCGGTTTGCACTACTGTGTACCCAATATTAGCGAGCTAACAGAGACCGGTCAGAGTTTGTTGACGCCATCTGTCCGCAAATCTTCACAAAAAGGTCTAATCCCAGAGAAATCTACTAAACTTTCCACTTCATGTCCGTAATGCGGAAGCCCATAAACGGTCTGCTCCTCTTGTCTCTCTTAGCGCTGCTGCTCTGCATCCCAAGACGTTAAGCCCAGGTGTCAGACACTTTGGGGGAAGGATGTCCAAATCAATTACGATCAACGAGCCCAAAGTTGATGCTGATGCCTAAGTTAGTCCAAAGCTTAAGGCAACTTTAACGAAGTTGAGATCGGAGGTTCGGCATCTGCCCGACTATTCAAGCACAAAACCCTAAGTCGGAAACATCGAATCATGACAAGCAAAGTTTGAGCGATGACAGTACTAATCTCCGGGGTGGTATCTGAAAAGAGCATTGTTCATTTTCTCTAGTTGGCAGTCTGCCCCGCGCCAATTGACAGGAGAGTTCGGTACGAACCAGCCAGACGGTCAAAGTTTCGTCTGTGGCTGACCCATAATTAACGACCAACGATGGCGCTGAAGTCTCCAGACCGAGTAAGCCCGTCAGGTCTTCGCGTGTAAACCTAAATGGAGCGATCCTCGTGGCTTGCCAGATCAGGGCTGCATTCGTCGTGGAATGATTTGTCAATGGGAGGGTAGCCTCAATCGCAGGAGGACCCAGTCTGTCCAGTCTCCATACCACGGGCTCCTTCCCAAACAGGAAGAGCTTCTGCCGGCCTTGCTGGGAAATCCTTTAGTAGTATCCAGTATGGAGTATGAAGTATTGACTAGTAAAACATGCCCATTGCGGTGTCGCAAAAGGATCTGGGTGAACACTAATTTACGATCTGGTCAGTCGTGCAGGACTCACGATTCACTGAGAGAAGGGGGTGGCGACGGAGCGCGGTGTTTAGCGAGAGATCCATGACCTACCTAGTGCATGTCGTGGGTAGTATAGCAGACAGCGGTAGAGGAATGGAACTATTCGGATTGAGCTGGTGCCCTTGAGGGGGCGGCCTTCTGACGGTGAGAGCGAGAGAGTTGAGACTAGGTGAACTATTTTGTGCTCGATAGGGACTAGGGGTGATGGGAGACTTCCCGATTAGGAAAGAAAAGGTGGCTGCGCGCGTACATCAGCCACCGATGACGCAGTCAGCAGCAGGGCAAAAGAGGCTGGTGACTGAGTTTTGCCCAAAAATGACAGGCCCTATTGTTGCCACCGAGAGGGGGGGGGCCCGGCCACCTGCAGCGGAATGCCCGATTCAGCCTAGTGGTTAGCGCTTTTCTGCCTTTTTATCTTCTAACATTTTTAAATTATTTTAATTTCCCTTTCCCAAGAAAAAAATTTGTTGTCAGATCCCAGATCGTGCAGGAATGGAGCAAGGGTGTAGATCCCAGCCTGGATCTCGCAGGTCAGACCAATCCAACCCCCGATCATCCGGCCATCACCCGGATGTCTATGTATAGTCTAAGTACATACAAGATCATCTGAATAGATTTTAAAACGGGAACAAATTAAGAAACATTTCTCGTAAAAAAGAAAAGCGAAAAGAGATCGAAGCAACCGCGGGTCAAGCAGTTTCATGATGATCCTGGGACTCTGCCGCTCTTCGGAAACTCCGACTGCTCAATGACAGTTCTTCTAGAACAAAAATTTTTTAGTTCCCCCAGAATGGTGAAACGAAAGTTGCACGAGTCGCAACAGACGATCTAGTGGGAAAGTGTCAAGAACTAGACCAGCAACTATGGATCGCGCACTCAAAGATGGGGATGGCTGACCCAGCGGCTCGGCTGTGACACTGTGGCAGAGCAAGCGTCCTGAGTCAGCCCGAAGGATGGAGGGCAAGAGAAACTGTCCACTTGGAGGCATTATTTGTCATCGCCCATCGCCCCCCCTGTCTGCGGTGTCACCATCCACTGGTTCCTGGTCCTTGGGATCCGCCTGACGGGCCAGCATCGGCATCCATCGCGAACGGACTAAAGGGTCGTGCATCTGACAGGACCAAGATGCTAGTCAGTAGTCGATGAATAGTTACGGAGTAAGTAAAGTAAGATTCTTAGGTCAGTAGTACGTAGTAGTAAAGTAGCTCGCTTGGGGACAATGGATTGACCTGAATTGACTCCCGTCCCTCGGTATTGTTACCATTGTTTGTCTGCCACATAAACCTAACTTTGTACGTAGTCCCTAATCCCTGTCAATTGATGGTTAATATTATTATTAATATTATTCTATCTGATATTTCATTAGTCACCCGTGATTGTAGTAAGTTAGGGCAAGGTTGGATAAAGAGAAGAGACACCCCATTAAACCCAGAATGGACTTTATTATCATTGAAAAAGTACACATCAGTAGTATCACCACCTTACTTTGTGCTGCATCTCAAAATGGCTTGTCCAATTCAGATGCTGGCACCTTCATGCGAGGAGCAAGTCAAAAACGAACAAACTTTCCCTTTGGAACGCGACTGACATCATACCCGGTTCCAGGATGTCTCACCCGCCATCGCCGCCCACGAGATCTTCTCCAAAAACTTCCCTGATGCATTGATTGACGGTGAGAAATCTCCGAGGTTTTCCCCGTTTTGGGGCGCCTCCTTCGCGGGCACCAACTGCCCAGTTCAGAATGGCGCCTTCAATAGCCTGAGGTTCTATTGCATCTATCACTAGCCCCAAACTTAACCCGAGGCTGTAACCAAACTCCTCCTTGAACTCTACTTACTCCCCCAGCAGAGATGGACCGCCACGGGCTTCCTCTCTCCCCCATCTCCATCTCCTCCCCGCCCCAAAAAAGAACAATGGCCTTCTAGAACATGGCAGGGAAAGGCCGCACCATATTCCTGCTGCGGCAACCAGCGTGTCCGATCACTTATTTTGGTTCTGGCCTCCCACCTCCCAAGCCAATGGGCCCCCCCTTTCTTCTCGGCCCCATCAGTTCGTCTGGCTGAGCGGAGGATCGACCTATGATAGAGACGGCTGCTGCTGATCAGAAAATCACAGCATGGCATTGTGATCAACCGCGCCAGTCTGCACAGTTCAGACTTGTTTTTCTTCCGGGGTTTAACCTGCCTAAAATAGACATGACGGCCGTTGTTTGAAAGTCAGAATCGCGCTTCTGCTACTGCATTGGTGTGGGGTGTTTTTGTTCCTGTTTATGCGAACTAGCGATCGAAATAACGGAGTGGTTGGGGGAAAACAAAAAATGCGATTAGGGTGAGTATCTACCCCCGGTTTGCTAGAGCATTATGGAGTAATGGCATCGTTATTCAGCCTCTCTCTCTCCCTTTCCCCTTTCCTCTCCCTCTCTTTCCCTCTCCCTTGTTCTGTGTTCGGGATGGGAAACCAGGGATGAGTGCCAGACATTGTGTGCATTAGTGGGTCGGGAGCCATGGTTCTGGTCCTGTATGTGCCTCGATAGTAACCTTCCAAGTATGTTGTCCCAGAGAAGGTTTCCCTTGAAATTCCGTGCCCGCGTTGGGGGGAAGCCGAAAGGGGATACAGACTTCTCGGGGGCCAAATTCCGGCATCCTCCGATTCAATCTACTGAATGATTGATTAACCCATGCTTGTATAGTCCCTTAAATCTGCCACTATATTCCTCACCAACAGATGGACCAATCGACTTTCCAACCCTACTGTTTATATTTAGACACCAGCTGATTCCCTGCTTGAATCCGTCACCAACGTTTCGCATTCCAGCCCGAAGCGATTTTGAAACAAGGGTCATAACTCTAACTACGCCGTTGAATTCATCCCTCGTTTCCTTGCCCTCTTCCAGTGTGATATGCATTAGATTTGACACTGTCGTGAAACTCAAAACTGCATGTCTCGTCGCGAGACGCACCGGCATGACGTGGGTGCCATGTCGGGATTCTTGCTGCCTGGCGTGCTGTCGCCTGGTGGATGTTCATAGCGCGATGATCCTATCCACAGCACCCTGTCACAGCTCCTGGCTCGTGTCATCTGATGGGTGTGAGTGAAACTTGAAGAGTTGTTTTGATTCACCGGGGCTTCTGATGGGTAGGAAAAAGTAGCCGACGCTGTCTAATTGGCGGGTTGAACATACCAGATCCATATGTCCGGGATAGGTTAAGTCAGTCAGGCCAGACCAGGTCCAGGCTTGTGCCCTGATGGAAAGGTAACACTGAGTGGGCTTATGCTTTGGTTTAGAGTTGCCTTTGCGAGTCATCTGGTGGGGTAAACACCAGGCCTGGTTATACGACATTGGTCGCGAGGTTCCTGTCCTGACAACTCGCCCAATTCGAAGTTATACATCAATACTAGTTCAACTCTGTATACACACCAACCATTGCCCCTTGTCTGTCGCCACTCACACACACACTAACCAACCTGCATATATGTGCCTTCAGGGGTCTTACGCAATTTGAGTGGGGAGCTTCTACCTACCGTTTCATGCGCTGTGCAACCTTTACTACTACCCCTCTATTAAGCCTTGCCATCCTATGCCAGCAGTCATCTGACATTAGCCCCCTGCGTGACAATGCGTCTATTGTCCGATCTGGCTTTATCCCTTGAAAAATTGTCCACTAGATACCTCCCCGT